AATTAATAAGTCATATTAATAAAAGTAATAATAAATATAATAATTAAATTATCTAATCTTTAAACTATACAATATTCTTTGATCCATAGGTTAAATAACTAAAGTGGTATTAGGAGATAAAAAATAAACCTGGACATTTGACAATTTATTGATATTATCAGCTTGATGGCATGATATATTGTTCATTAAAAGAAGAATTTTCAATTGGTAATGTGTATCATAGAATTAAGCTGATTAAAGTAAGATCTTAAAATAGATCTTTGCATTCATGCTTTTGTGTTTCAATAGTATCATACCAGCAGTAAAGATTTATTAATTCTTTTGAGAGCACGGGGTGTTTTGTATTTGTGAATAAATAGAATCAGTAATTTTTTATCTCCTGTTATATTTGTCATGGCCAGCAATGATACTCATTCTTTTGATTACTTTTTTCCTTTAACTGGACCATATACTAGAGTTCGATTAGGTTCAAGCATCCAATATAATGCTGTCTCGTTATAGTTGAATATATTTTTAGATTCATAATTTTTGATTATATCTTGAAGTTGCTAGTGAAACACTAAAATTTCGTTTATATTAACACTGCCTGATTCATTACATTTTTTATAAGATTTCAAATTATTTCGTCTCTTGAAATTCTTAACCCAACCCATAGAAGCTAAAAACTTATCAAAAACTTCGAATTCTTTAGCAAATGCTAAGGCCTTTTCCATCAACACACTATCACTCAAGTTTAAATCATTTCGTGCTAATACATTTTCCACCCAAATTTTCATTGCTTCTTTAATATCTTCAAAGGTTGCTTTTCGAGCATGTTTGAAGTTGGCTAAAGCTATTCCTGGTTTAATTCTTAACTACTGTTCTTTTGCTTTAACAATATTAGAAATGGATTGCTTTGATATTCTATATTCAGTGGCAATATCTTTTTGTTTCAGTGTCTTATCAGCCACCAAGCATTCACAAATCTCTTTTTTTTGAAACATGATAAGAAAAATACGAACTTTTTTTAGCTTTTCTGTTGGATTATTTGTCGTTATTTTTCGTTTTGCATTTCTAGTATCTGCGATTTTATCCATTGATATTTGAATAAGTGGAAAGTTCGAAAAATATTCAGAAGAAAAGGAAGAACAAGCGAGTTCTAGTTCAGTAAAAGTCAATTGGTGTTTGGCAGCCATAAAAGTTGTAATTTATAATTGGCTGATATGTTTAATAGCTAAATTATACCAAATCCGCTTTATTATACTGGAGTCCATTTTACTATATTGGATCTGCTTTAGCTACAGTATATCAGAGTTCACTTTAATAAAATCTATTTTATCAATCATATATTACTATTAGTGCATTTACAAAAATTAGTCTGGATCCACTATAAGTTTTTTATTAATAAAGTCTGCTATACATATTATTGAAATTTTTGATCACTAAAAATAGTCTATACTAAGCGAAATTCATTATAACAATCATCCATTATATCGACTTTGACTGTATATTAATAATTAAAATATTTAATAATATATATAGTATATATTATACATGTGGTGTAAATTATTTTGCTATTGACTCAATTGCCAAAATCCTCAAAAATAATTGCGTCTGACTCAATTATTTTATATGTTTTAATAGTGACTCAATTAATTGCGTCAAATAATTGCGTCAATTGCGTCAAGGATCTACCTATTTCTACCACATGTATAGTATATATAACAATAATTAAAAAATTTTAATTATTCTTACAAATAAAACTAATAATAGCAATAAATATTTTTTATTTACTTTTCAATAATATATAGTAAATTATTTTGTTTAATATTAAATATTTATATTTATAAAAAAATTATATATATTTATATCTAAAAATTTAATTAATCAATATTTATTTAAATATTAATTTTATTTTATTTTTTTTTAATGTTAAATAAAATATTTCTTGTAATCTTTATTAATAAAATAAATATTTAATATTATATAATTAATATTAAGATACTGAAATATATCACTATATATGTCAATCTATTATCTTGCTAAGTATATTTTTGAAAAAAAAATCTTGAAACAAGAAAAATTTATTTTATTTTGAGAAAACATAATAAGTTTGAAAAAATAATTGAAAAATAATGTTAGTTAGGTTATTTAGGTTATTGATTTAAATTATATTATTATTGATTATCAGATTTTTTATTGTTTGTTATTGTTATTGTTAATATTATTGATATATGTTTTTTTGTGTATTGTGGATTGTGTTATTATTATTATTATTGATATTTTTTTTTTGCATTTGATATTTTATAAAATGTTAAAAAGTTTTTTTTCAATAATTATTTTCTGATTTCTAGAAATTCAGACTTGTATATATAGTAGTTTGAGTCATACATGTATTTGTATTATTATAAAAGAAAATTTTATTGACAATAAAATTCTGAATTAAATATGAATTTCAATTATTTACTATATATTACTTAGTAATTCTATCATAATACAATTTTTGAAAAATGATTAAATTTAATCCATTACATATATAGTTTGAGTATTTCATTTTGAATTTCAATAATGTTTTTGAGATTAATTTTTATTGGGTTAAGATTTTTGAAGAGGTATTTGATTGGGTGATATCTGTTATAAAGTTGATGATATAGATATTAGTATTAAGAATTTTTTGTATTTGTTTTTTATTAAAATTTTTGTTGTTTTTGAATTTCTTTTCTAGAAGTATTTGTGTATTATTAATTATTTTTTTTAAGTATGATTAAGCTTTTTTTACAGATTTAAAAATAATATATTATTTTTGAACTTATATTGCATTGTAAGTATAGATCATTGATATATATGTTTAAAGATATTATGTAAAGATAAGATTCTATAAGAAGAAAATTTTATTTTATTTTATATTTTATAAATAAAATATTATTTAATTTCTTGAATAATTTATCATAAATAATATATTTTCTAAAATAAATAAATTATTTTTTTTTAATTTTAAGTTTTAATAAATATATAAAAGATAAATATTAGATGTATTGTTATCAGTATATAACAAGTCAGTCGCTAGTTCGAAGCTAGGGCTTATATAATAATAAGGATAAGGGTCAATGATCACTTGCTTAACCAAAGGTATATATTAATAGATTTTCTTCTCTTATATTGCCAATCTAATTTTTTATCACAATTTTTTTTGGGTCTTTAGGATTCTTATAACAGTTAATAACTTTCTAGAAGCAAGTTTATTAAATGTATTATGATAAGTACTAATGGTATTTTAATAAGCGAGTTTCTTTTTTACTTTTGTATTTACCACTCTTTTTTTCTTATTAGTCAAGTCTAACTATATTTATACTATGAGCAATGCATCTACTAAGCTTCCATCGCGTTATGCAAAACAAGCTTTAGGCTAATTAAACTTTCTAATTTCTGATTTGCCACATCATACCAAGTTATGTGACTATCGGTGACCCAAATCATCCCACTTATTTTTCCTTGCTAACAGTATTAAATAAAGAATTAATTTTTTTAATAATAAAATTAATTGTTTTTTTCTAATCTTAAACTTTAATAAATAAATTAAAGATAAATATTAAATATTTTTTTTTATCATAAACAGGCATTAAATACAAGACTTTATTTAAATTAGAAATTTACTATCATTACATTAATAATCTTTACAAAAGTTAATTAATTGTAACTTATCACAACAAAATTATTGATGCCAAGTACTATCTCAGGATGGGCTTATATCAATAGTGTATAAATATTAAATATTATTAATATAAAAAACTAGATATTTAATATAGATGGAATAAAATATAATATAAGATATTCATAAAGAATATAATACAATAGCTAGAGTATTAAATTATATATTAATTGAAAAAAATTGTAGAATATGATAATAGTTTAAGAGACATATTATTATTTTTTTTTTTTTACACCTAATCAGGCTGTAAATACTTATGTTTATTTAATCTTTTAGCAGAAGACATAATGTTTGAGTACATGTATGCATAAACTAATCACTTTTTATAGCACACCCGTCAACAGCCAATGGCCTCTAGATGTGATTAAGGGGAATAAAAAAAGTTGCTCTACTTTGACCCACGTTCCTT